GTCTCAAGTTAGTGTTTTTCAATGAATGAGGTGTGCTACTCCCTGCACTCTTTTTCCTGACAGATCAGTTTTCCAGCATATAGAATGGAGTATAGGGGTCTTGTTACACAGTATGCTTTGAGCTGCACCAGTGTTGATCAGCTTAGTGCTAGCTTGGAGTTTGGAGCAGTCACACCCGGCAGCACCCAGTTTCACAGCTGTAACTTGCCACTAGAGGCTTATAAGCAGGGAGGTCCCTTCCAGCCCTACTTCTCCATGATTCTTCTCTGCTCCCCAGGACTTGGCAGGAGAGAGCATAGGGTCCAACAGTGGTAGCCTGTCCAGGCTTGGCACTGGTGAGGGAAGGTGCCCTGGGCCACGGAGCCTGGACTGGGGGGCTAGAGGCTGGGGGAAATAAAAAAGCTGAGGCTCCAGCCCCTGGGCTGCTCCACTAAGCAACCAGAGGTGTAAGGGCCCCCAGAACAGGAGGGTGATGGAGGGGCCACTGCATCCTGGGATACTGGAGAACTTCAGTTTGAGTGGCATATCTGTGGGGAGTGGCCACATGTTAATAGAACAGGAGTTGGGTTGTGCATATCAGAGATAATCCTGCCCTGGACTGGCATCATGGAGTGGCATCATAGTGCCTAACTGCATGGAAACATGTTAAAGCTGCAAACTCCTCTAAACATGCCCTTCATTTTATGTCTATGCTGATAGTATTACATGTTATGAAAAAAGGGAAAAAGTCCTCCTATGTCTGGCTGACACATTAGGCTTAAGGCCCCCTCTACATTGAAGTGAAGGGGTTTCACTTCAACGTAGAGAGGGTCTTCAATTAACTGGTTAACTGCACACTTACCTTAAGACCAGTGACATGTACAAAGTAGCGATCATGCCATAAAAAGCTCCAACCAAGTATAAAATTAGACTTCAAAAATGTGTACTAACTTTATAGCTAGTTGTTATCCAGCTTGAATTAGGATGAGTAGCAGGGTCTCCCCTGTGGCAGGCCAGCAGGGAGAAGTGCATCATGCCCACACACAGCTGTCAGCTCTGGCTTCACGTACCCACAAGCCTGGGATATTGTGGCAGCCATGATCCCACAGCGCCAGGGCTACATGGGGTGCCCCCATGACTGGAAGCCAATCAACTGAGGGGTTTCCAGCCATGGCAACTTCCCCCTTGCTGCCTCCACACTGGCTCCCCCTGCACTGCCAATAAGGTATGATGGGATCTAATTCATGGTCTACACAGTCATGCTTCCTGCCATACCACACACATGTGGATCACACATTAGATCTCATTGTGCCTTTGCCTTCCTGTGTAGAGTGGGTCTAAGACTCACCAGTTTCTGTAGCTAGCAATACACAAGGGAGTGAGATAGCTATCATCATATTCAGCTGCCTTTGACTCTCCACCCTAAGAGACCAGGTACTCACTTACCATTGGTTCACCCAGGTGTGTCATTCAGCATGAATTTGGAGCTATACTTGCATTTGTGCCTTTGGAGTCTTAGAAAAATGTTTTAACTGAGCTAGCTCTTAACATTGTGTGCTATACTGCTGATAAAATAGATCAATATTTTCAATAAAAACAGGATCCTGTAAAAGTTTAACATCCCCCTCTAGTGTTGTGAACCTCAGTAAAAATTACTGTCCACCCCATGAGAAACAAAAAAGCAAAACTGATCTGGACAGGAGGGAAAACAATAAATTTAGTCTCACTGTCCATGGTAAATGATATGCAAAAAAAACCCCAACAAACAGTGAATATAAATTGGTGGGAATTAATTAGATTTTGAAACTGTACATTTTAACAATCTGGTCAGCAACAACATTATTTCACTCTGAAGTTTTATGCTGTTATAGTCTCTTTAAGATTACATATATTTATTTATTCATTCAGTTAAACATTAAAAAAGAAAAATTTTGCAACTGAAGGGAACCTACCATGCCAGGAGCATGTGCAGTTGTGCTTCAGTGGAACCTGCACTTATGGCTAGTTGCTATCTGAGGTCACCTATGTTAACAGCCAGAAAAGTCACAGTCCCTGGGAGACTTTGTATCTCCTCCATATTAACTCACACATTAGAAGGTGGCCACCTGTCTAACACATTTCCAGCTACCTGCAGACCTGCCCAGCTGTGTAAGTTGTATTGCAATCAACCTGCTAAAGCAGCCAGAAGGAAAAACAACTGCAAGATTAGGGATTTTAAAAGTCCAAAAAAAAAAAAGGCCCTGACATAGCTCAGTTATGTTCTAGGCATATGGCCTTTCAGTGGGGCAGTACAGAGAGACACCACTCAAGTGAAATAATGGGAGGAGCTGTACTTCACTATGCCACACTGTGTACTGGAACACCCCTCACTCTCCCATTGAGGGGAATAGAAATCAGAAACCTACATTCCCTTCACCTCATCACAGGTGTCAAACATCTATCGGTCTAAACTACTTTATATGGAATCTGAGCCCTTCACAGTCTATATTGTATTTATCACAACACTCATATCATCTTACTCTATTTTAACATAAGGAACTGAGAGGTACAGGGACAGTTAATGATGTACTGAAGCTCATGCAAGTAGTCTGCGGCAAAGCAAGGAATTGAGTTTATGCCTGAGTCCTAGGACAGCACCCTGACCAGTTTACTATGCTTCTTTCCATACTCAGAAGACTGTAAACACTCCCTGAGCTCAGCCCCTTTACTGGGGTGTCCTTTTACCTTAACTCCCCTCTGAACTACCATTAATGCCAAGTTAATCCTGGCAGGAACATTTTTGTTAAGACTTGAGAGTAAAACCACATTATTAGTGCATTAGGGACAGTTGTATGAATGGTATTTTTTTCTTTTGTAATCAGCAGTTACTTACTATAGAGGACAAAAGAAGTGAAAGTAGAATTCCTTTCTTAATAGCTTCTCATAGATGCATTTCATAGGAGCAAAGGATCTATACAGAGATCTTTATACTATGATCATTTTTTTTTAAATTCCCTATGTTGTTGAGCATTTCCCATGGAATACAAAGTCATTCCTATTTCCTTCTACATCCTACAGGTCATAATAGTTTTTCCCTGTCCATCATAAGGTAAGTCTCTTTTATATCTGGCACACAATTAAAGTGGCATGAGGACAACAAATCAACCCATGTTATTTTTAGTGCTGGTCAAATTATTCCCTGTGCATAGATTATCTAACTTATCTAGCTCTTTTTAAACATTTTGAATAATTTATGAGTGTACCTTGATTTCTGCTGATAGATTTGATATTACTTTATACCTTGAACAAACACATTTCTGCCAATAGTGTTATAAAATCAATAATGAATAAGCCACAATGATTATCAACCTACCACTCATAACTAACCACAGGAGCTTAGCTTAGACAAGTTTAATATGCACACGTTGTCTCTGACAGACATACATAACAGCAAACACACTACACAAAACATACATATTTATACATACACATTGAGCACATATTGGGCTTGAGAAAAGCAGCAATAATATACTGCCCAAGGGTTAAGATGCTTCCTGAGATTATGCTATAATGCCCACAGCACAGCCAAACCAAGCTTTCAGCTTTGAGCATTATGTGTCTCATTTTTTTAAAACTGTGATGAATTATATAATTAACTTTGGGGAATGTATAAACAAATCCCATTGGTTACATTTTGGTATCATGAAAATTTATTTTTTTACCATTGCCTGCCTGTGCCATCATAGGCCATATCATGTTCTCATGACACTGCCAGCAAAGGAATAGGTTCACACAAGAAGCTACAACTTTGAAACCAAGCACAAGGAAGAAAATCTAGCAGCCCAACCCTGGTCTTGGTAGGGGTTTGTAAGAGATGGTTTGTGGAGCCGAGAACATGAAGCTGGGAGGTAGGGAGTTAATGGGATGGGAGCAGGTAATGAAATGGGAAGTGGAAAGGAAATGAGGGTGGAGAAAGGATGAGGAAATGAGGGAACGCAGTCACTCAAGGATAAAAGAAAAAGAAGTAAAAACGAAGAAAAAGGAAAAGCAATAAAGAGGAAGTAAATAAGGAAGGTTGCATGTTTTAATAAATTGGGATTTGCAATTGTGGGGTACTGGCTGTGTATCCAGGGCTAGCTGAGAGGTGGGAGCAGTGAGGGAAGGCAATTTTGGGGGAGCTACTGCCCCTCTCCTGGGAAGAAAGCCACAGCTCATGGAGACCTGATATGGCCTCCCTACTTTGTTCCTCTCCACCCTCACTAGACCCCATTCCTGGACCCATCTGTGCCCTCTAACCTGGCTAGCTGGCATGTGCTATGCAGGCTGTTTAGACATGATTGCACCCCTGGGGGTGGGAAGGTTGCAGACTGGGGGCAGCAGGGGGAGTTGGCTTGGTGCCAGAACCACCCCTTGGGCAATATAGTTCAAAGGGTGGAAAGTTTGTCCACACAGAAGAGGAGGGTGGGAGAGGGGACACTAGATACTAGGATGGTGGAGGACTGAAATTTGGGCAGTTCATCTAAGGGGAGTGGCCACACATTAATGGAAAGCAAGTTAAATAACTTGCCCTGGAGTGGTGTAACTTTAAGCCACCTAATGTGTGCTTAAACTTAGTTTCAGGTGTTAATGTGTGGACCATCCAGGGGTTAAGAGCTCTGGGAACCACCTTAAATTAATATGTAACAGGGCTTTCAGTGGCAACAAAATGAGAAAAAATGGATTTATGTAAACTACCTTTCAGCTTTCAGGGCTATAATACAATTCTATTGCCCTTGAAGTTAATCAGTGAGTTTACACACACACACACACACACACACACACACACACACACACACAGAGTCTTACCCACACATAGTGTGTAGGTAATGGTGTACATGTGTAAATACTTTATAAACAAACACTATACACCCTCAGCCAAACACCCTCCATAGGCTGTTTACACACATGGATAGATATAACACCAATATTTTTTTCCAGGTTGGCATAAGGTATAAACATTTTTTTTTTACTTTATGTACCTTAAAACTAATAGTAACATTTACCTGTGAGCCTACTAGTGTCTGCAAACTCAGCTCTGATGATGGGTACATTGGGACCATCCTCTTCATATGCTTTCAGAATGTACTTCTCAATTACACCTCTGACCCCCGCAGGTTTGTCCCAGGTCACCTCAATGCTGTAACCATTTATGCTGTGAACTCTTGAGGGAGTTGGCACATTTTGTGGGACTGTGGAAGGATAAAATAGAAAATAGAGAAAATGGCAGTTCTGAGAAGACTATTGCCCCTATTCTTCACTTTTAATGGCTGCAGTAAATCAGACTCAGCCATTAGCATAAATACAATTTATTAGAGTTGTAACTTTTCAGCTTTGATTTAATATGACTGCACATCTTGAGCCATTCAGTTTAAGCTATATTTCAAAACCATCAAAACTCCATCTACATAACATTCTTACTTGTCTAGTTCAGATTTTCCAAAAACATTTAACATTTCAAGTGTGTTTAAACATCACTCATAAAAAGAAGAGGTGGATTGTTTGCACCTAACAAGTTCAGGCAATATAATAATGTAACTGAACAAAGCAAAATAATTAGACTTGTTTTAGACAGGGGTTTTACAATTTTATCTCTTGGTTAAATTGGTCACAAAATAACACAAATGTGATCATGATGTCATTACATATAATTTGATATCTAAAATTCAAGCATTTCAAACTATTTGAAGTATTTGTCAATAAATTAGCAACTCCATAAAAAGCATCTGAAGGAAAACTGTGCTTTCCACAGCCTTTCACAGAAGCCTTTGGTTTTGATCACTTCAGATGATAAAAAGGGAATAAAAAGAAAATGAAGATGTTTAAAAGAATTGGAAAGCCACAATCTTATACACATAGAGCCCCTAATAAAAAAAATCATCCCATTTTCCCATAACCTTTAACTATTTATTAGATATTGCTATACCAAGTAAAGGTCTAGCCAGTAACAACTTCATCACAGATGACTGCACAAGGGATGCAGAGGAAAGGCCCAAGGAACACTATGGCAGGATGATGGATGATGAGTTTGCTGTAAATGCATGTGGACTCCTGAGCCCTGTTGATGAAGATCACTTCGGTTTCCCTTGTATCAAATATCACTTCTTTTTTTTAACTTTATTATTTGGACTCATTAAATAAATGCAGCCCTTTGTGAAGGGAGAGGCACTAGAATGCTAAGTGTAAAACTGTTCGAGTAAGTACGGTTCCTGTGAAAAGTAAAAATGTAATACTCCAGGAATGCTTCAGGTTACTACAGTAATATATTGATTTTATTAGTTCTGAAATGTAGCACAGGGCAAGGTAAGATACTATATAGCAGATGGTCTTCTCATAAGGGACACAACAAAACTGACTCAAAAATAATTAAATAGTGCAATTATTCTCCAACCCTTGGGAGTATGTAGCTGCTCAGTGTTGTGGTCAGATTGTAAATATAAATTTATAGTATAACTTACTGTGGTCAGATAATTAGTATAAAAATATGGCTATATTTGCTGTCTTGTGGATGGCAGATAAACTGGTGACAATAAGTGGTATAAGCAATATATTTGCAAGTCAGATATGTATTCTTGTGGACACGATCAAAGTGGTTTTGCAATAACAAAGTTTTTCTTTTCTTTCTTTTCTTTTTTTTAAAGAAGAAAGTCATAGTGTAATTGGGGAGATCCTAGGGAAAAAGGCTTCTTGAATAAATATCTTGCATCCAAAGAATTCTCTCTATGACTGGAATGGTATTTGGATTCAATACATAGTGCCAGTCGTAGATGGACAAACTACTTCACAGTGAGCACATCTATACCAGACGTTTACTCTAGAGTTGCCTAATTAGCTTTGCAGTAAATGTCTCATGTCTAGACATGCAGTGCTCTTTGGTTGGGGGGAACTAAAAAACTCCAGCAAAGGGTAGTACTTGTAAATACAGGTGGTATCCTGCTGCAAAGTTTTTTACTCCACAGCAACATGTGTAGGCTGCCAGGGCTGGCTGGGGCATGAAGGTGCTTCAGTGTGGGAGCTGCCTGCCAGCTAGTCCTGCACTGGAGCTCCCTCATACGCCAGCCAGTCCCTCTGCAGCACATTGAGCCAGGTTAGAGCAGCCCCAGACTAGCAGGCTACCCCTCCAGGCCTCCTGCCAGCCAGGGCTGCTTCAACCTGGCTCACCTGCTGCAGTCCCAGGTGCATATTCAAACAGTGCGCCCAGGAGCAATAAATTAATTGTGATATACACTGGAGTTTATTGCTTTGACTTATTTGCACATGTACATGTGCGCACTGTGAAGTATTTTCAGAAAGTCACTTGCACAGCAAGATACAAAAAACACAGAACATAGAAGATAAGGTACTCTAAACTGTCTTTGCAAAACAGTAAAAAGTTAATTTTCTGGATGGACAAATATGTGTGAAGAGAAATATGCAACCACATACTACATTCCA